AAGGCAATGTTCTTTTTCTTTCTTTTCTTTTCCTTTTCTTTTTTTTTTTTTTTGGACAGAGTCTCCCAGCTGGTCACCCGGGGTGGAGGCGTGGCCGCATCTTGGCTCACTGGCAACCTCTGGCCTCCCCAGATCAAGCGATTCTGCTGTCTCAGTCTCCAAGCTAGGCGGGATTTACAGGTGACCCACCACCAGGACCCAGCTAACTTTTTTGTATTTTCAGTAGAGACGGGGTTCACCAAATCGTTGTGCCAGGCTGGGTCTCAAACTCCTGACTTGTGATTCACCTGCCTCGGCCTCCCAATAGTGCTGGGTATTACAGGTGTCGAGCCCCATGCCGCAGAATCCTTTTTCTTTTTTTCGTTTTTTTAAGACAAGGTTCTGCTGTCTGCCAAGAGGCTTGGAATGTAGGTGTATGATCTCAGCTCATGTAGCCTCCAACGGAGCTGGGCTCAGGGCATTCTCCCCCCGGGCTACAAGCCTCCTGAGGTAGCGGGCTGGGACTCATAGGAGTCATGCCACCCACCGCCCAGCCACCATTCTTGTATTCTTTGAGTAGAGGTGGGATTTTTCCATCTTGCTCAGGCCTGGTCTTCGACTCGCTGGCCTCAGTCGAATTACTGCCCCCTGTCCGTCGCTCTCCAACGAGTGCTGGGATTACAGCATGAGTCACCCGTGCTCAGCTTAGAAATATTTTTTAAACGGCCCTAGAAGCCTAAAATGCCTCAAGACAGGAATTATACCGCATCGGAAAAAAGAAGAGGAATTTTTAGTTTTGAAACAGAACAACAGGAGATACAAAAGAAAGTGCTTGTAAGATTAAAATTTAAACGGGGCGATGATGAAGGCCAAATCAAAAATGCAGCGTGGGTTATAATGAACATTAAGGGAAACTTGCTAGAATCGGCAGAATAAAAAACGGCAGTGGTGGTCTCACACTTGGCATTCCACGGCTACTTGAGGAGACTGATGCCAGGAGGATCCCTTGAGCCCAGGACAGTTCAAGACAAAGCCTGGGCAACAGAGTGAGACTCCAATCTCTTTTAAAAAAGAAAAGACTGAGAGATAGAAGTAAGGCTTGGTAAAAGATAAAAAAACTTCTAGAGAAAGCATTAGTACGAGAGGCAGGCCAAATCGCAGAAATGTTACCGTACAGGTGCAGAAATCTTCGTCAGAAAAGGGAAAAACAGAATAGCAGCGAGATAGACAAATGAAGAAATAATATAAAAAAGTCTTTCCAGAAAGCTGAAGGACAGGAATGCTCCCACAATTGAAAAAGGCCAGCCAAGTGTCCAGCATGATAAAATGAAAAAAGA